GGCTGAGGCAGGAGACTCGCTTGAGCCCAGGAGTTGGAGGTTGCTGTGAGCCATGGCACTCTACCCAGGGGGATAGCTTGAGGCTCCCGTCTCAAGAAAAAAAAAAAGAAACTGTTACTTCTTTTCTAACTAACACAGTATAAAATAGTTACGAAACTGGATTAAGGAAGAAATGTAGAATAACTTCAGGCCTGGCTCACACCTGTAATCCCAGCACTCAGGAGGCCAAAGTGTGTGGATTCTCTGAACTGAGTTCCAAGACGAGCCTGAGCAAGAGCAAGACCTCGCCTTAAAAAAAAAATAGCTGGGCATTTATACATGTGATAAATGGGTGATGGGTGCCTGTAGTCCCAGCTACTTGAGCGGCTGAGGCCAAGAGTATCACTTGAATCCAAGAATTTGAGGTTGCTGTGAGCTAAGACACCACAGCACTCTACCAAGGGTGACAAAGTGAGACTATTAAAAGACAAAAAAGACAAAACTTCAGAAGAAAGAGTACAATTTAAAAGCTAGTTGTAATTGTTTTCTGAAAAATAAAAAAGTGGTTTTAAATTATAACCAAAGGCATTTAAATTATGAAAAAAATAAATAATACAGGAACTTGTAATCTCTTCTTTTCACAGTCTTTGCAGCAAAACATTCTACCACTGAACGCATATACTCCTAACTTTTGACATCATTTATACATAAATAAGTAGCTGGAAACATTCATATACTAAAGGCTAAGACTAAACGACTGTAACAAAAGTTTCCAAAACCTGAAAATATCCTAAAAATATGCCATATATATGATACGCTATTGAGTATACTGTATACTCCCAATGCTATCATTGTTATAAGGGAAAGGGGGTGAAAAGTAAATAATACAGATAACCCCCTCAACTACAGTATTTTAAAAATTAAAAAAAAAAAAGAAAGTGCTTAAAACTAATTTTAAAAAAATACCTTTTTGGGGAGAGGTTCTTCGTTGGTCATCTTGAATCCTAGAAAAGGGTTGGGGGAAAAGAGTTTCAATTATTTTTCTTCCAATTAAGGAAAGAACAAAAAACACTGGCTCTTTGAAAGCAATTTATTAACAAACTAAATTATGGTTAAAGTATTACATGTTTTTATTTAAAGAAACTTTTAATTTTAGCATAGTTTTGGATTTACAAAAAAGTTCCAGGCAATACAGAGTTCCCATATACTCTATATCCAGTTCCCTTTACCAACACGTTCCATTATTATAGTAACCACTAAAAATTCCCTTATAAAAAAGTTGGTAATTTGAATCCTTTCAAGTTACTGTAAGGATCAAAAGAAACATAATTTCTCATTACATTCTTACAACTCCCTATGAAAATCGAGTCTTGAAGTGGTAGCTTTGTGTTTCAGTTAGATACTGACCTTCAGGCAGTATCCAAGCCATATTGCTGAAGGGCTACAGAAGTGTGATACCAATTTCTAAGTCTTTCCTTTTACAACATTACATTTTATTTTATAAGGCAGAATCTATAAATGCCACATATATTTATACTTTAATGAAAATATTTCTAATTACTTCTTTTTAATTCACAGCATAATCTGTACCTCAAAATTAGCTTCTTTGTGTAAGTTTATATAAATTTCCCTTAACTCTGTTACAAAAGGGTTTATGAACTCAAGTACAGAACAGTTTATTATGCTGTCTTTTTGAACAAATGCTAATAGGAGCTATTATTTATTAAATCACAACTTCACACACTAAAAGAAAAAAAGCAGGCTCAGCGCCTGGCGCCTATAGCTCAACCGGCTAAGGCGCCAGCCACGTACACCTAAGGTGGCGGGTTCGAATCCCCAGCCCGGACCCGCCAAAACAACAATGACG